GCCCCCCCCCCCCCCCGTTTACAGAAAGACTTAAAGGAAATTATTGATGCCTTTGTGTATAAACCTCACCTTACTCTGAAATAATTGGTGTAGATCAAAGGAAGTAGCGGGATACATGCATAGTGATCAGCTGACAACCATTTCTCTTTTCTTTCACCTAGCAGAGCAGCTTTCACATTAGAGAGATCACACACATTTTCTCCTGATAGGCAGCCAGCTCCATTTTGGTGGGAAGGTGGGAGGAGAAAGCCTTATCTTCAGAGTAGAATGGAATCAATGAAAAGACCTGTCTGTTTGCTTTAAGGAATGGAGTGGAATCTAGTGGGGAAGGGAGGTGGAGAAGGGATATTTGTTTTTCCTTAAGTGGTTATAATTAAAGCCTTCCACCCAATTGCTCAGTGAACCAGAAAAAGGTATTTGTGAAGTTGTGTGTGTGTGTGTTTAACATCACAGAAGAGCCCTGCAGCTTTCTTTGTAGAAAAACTTGCTCTCCAGCGGCACCTTGTGGGAAATGAGTCATCCTGCAACTTGGATACTTGACTTAATGATTTAACAAAATTGCTTCCGGTAGTTCTGTGTTCCTTCCCTCTGACCCACTTCCCCTGCTAAAGATCAAGGGATTTTGCAAAGAATTATGTCAGTTGTATTTCTGCATAACAGTCAGTGAACAGTAAGATGTATCTCCATGTATGTATCCTAGATTGTGAATCAAACCAAGTAGCTAGAGTGATTCGTCATGTTGCATCATTAAAGTCGTCTTTGGAATGTCTAAGGTTATTCATTCAAGAAACCACTAATTCGAGGCTTTAAATTTTTGTTTTTCAGGTGGAAACAAGTTAATCAAGCAGCATTTTAGTCTGAATTGGGCATGGATCTCCTTTGAAAAGGAATATTACTTGATCAATGAGGACTCCAAATTTCTAGATGTCGTGCTTAAACGTAGAGGTTATTTGGGAGAGACTTCCTTTATAAGTAAGTTTAATGTGCACTTCTGTCTCAAAATCCCATTTTTCTAGCAAAAGTTCATAATTTTACTATGATTAAAAATGTTGGGCTTCCCTGGTGGCGCAGTGGTTGAGAGTCCGCCTGCTGATGCAGGGGACGCGGGTTCGTGCCCCGATCCGGGAAGATCCCACATACCGCGGAGCGGCTGGGCCCGTGAGCCATGGCCGCTGAGCCTGCGCGTCCGGAGCCTGTGCTCCGCAACGGGAGAGGCCACAACTGTGAGAGGCCCGCGTACCGCAAAAAAAAAAAAAAAAAAGTTTAGTTTTCTGCTCTAGTTTTAAAGCTTAGGGAGATACTGACAATTAAAGGTTCTTTACTAAAGAAACATGCCAAAAGTTTTGTGCTGAGGCTAAATCAAAGAGATAAAGACTGAAAAAATAGGAAGTATGTAATCAAAATATATACCTCTTCAAATCATCTACCTACATATGACATTTCTCTGATATAAAATAACTTTACAAAATGACAGTAATAGCTCATAAATTAAAATAACTTAAGTGTCACTAGATCTTAGAATAGGCTTAGGCAAATCTGTAATTTA